GTATTAATAAGTATGTACTTTGGCCAATTCTGGCCTGGTGACTTTTCCGTCCCTGTCGGCGTCATAGCGGAGGAACTCCCTCCTGATGTCACTCTGTCGCATGTAGATGTTCTCCCGCACCATCCGCATCAGCTCCTCCACAGACATCCTATCTGCCCGCTGCATGCCCTTCACTGCCAAGTCCTCCAGTCTGAACAGAAACATGAAAAAACAATCCAGCCATGATTGAACCAGCTACAGCGAGCTCTTGTGTAGTTTGATTGAAGCAAAAATTGACGATATGACTTAATGGATTCCAGTTACGTTTAAACTTTTGAAATTTACAGCAAAATTTTATATCAGCGGCCAAAGATTTTAACAGTTTGTGTGGTCCAGGAAAATGAATGTTGAGAATGCAACCTGCCCTCGGTCTGGTTTGATTATCTACGTGAATATTTTTTGCTCTAAACGGACCTGGCCTCGTGGTCTTGTTTTCTCTCTGCCAGGAATCTGTCGTTTTCCATTGAGATCAATGCACTCAGTCCACATGTATCCCCAGTGTCTGGTTCCAAACCCAGCACCTTCATCAACTCCTGGAAGGGAGCTTTCCCTGAAGCATCCTGCTTCATCTTGTTCCAGAGCCTAACAATTATACAAAAATGTTTGGATTCATAGTCAAAGCAGTTCATGGCGAGGTCACGAAAAACTTTTTTTTTCATCATCAATAATCTCATCTCATTCACCATTCAACATCACAAAATGATCGTACGAGCGCTCTCTATGAATCTCAATGACTACTTTCTGATTTGTCAAGTGTGCATTACTAATTCTAATATCCGGCAAAAAATCTACGGGTTTTTGTTCATTTTGCTTCAATGATCGGAATTGAAACAATTCATTGATCATGATTTTGAATAAGCTTCTATCGAATTTGATTTACTATATTTTATAAGAACAATCAAGTTCTACGACCAACACTGAAATTCGATTTTTGCTTGAATGTGTTAGGATGACTAACTGTTCCAGGTGGTCCTCCCTGAGGGGAAGGGCATGTTTGGTGATGAGTCTCCTCAAGGCTTCCCTGCTCATCAGTTGATAGTAATCCCCATTCCTCACCACATCCCTCGCCAGGTTATTGCCATTCGTGATCAACTTCTGTCTAATGATATCTTCCACCTGAAGCACTCCTCAGTTGCAATCATAAAATAATTCAGAATTTTTAGTTTAGAAAGAATTAAGGCAGTATAGAAATTTATTTTCGAGTTTCCATTTCAGTTTTAGTCTGATCTTTACATGAATCCAATTCATTTTACAAAAACCATAGAAGCCAGACACCGGTATGAGAAGAATCTTTGTAGTAGCTAGAACATAGTTGTAAGATGCTAGAGGGAAAAAGAGCCCGGCCTGAGGGCACGAAGTACCCGAGTGAGGCTCTTTTGCCCGAGGCCATCTTCAACTATGCTCTAACTGTTGATGAGTATGTTTTTGCTCTTTCTGAGGGAAAAATGCCAGAAAATTGTGAAAGAGCCCGGAAAAGTGCGCGAAACTATGCAAATGATTTCTTTTTTCATTCATGCGTTCTAATATTTCATTTTTCATTCATGCCTTGTCGTGGAAGAGTATGTTTTTGCTCTTTCACACATGTTCTTTCACGACAAGGCATGAATGAAAAATGAAATATTAGAACGCATGAATGAAAAAAGAACTCATTTGCATAGTTTCGCGCACTTTTTTTAATTTTCCGGGCTTTTTTTTGAAAGAAGCCCGATTATAACAATTGAAACAGCAAAAACGGCTCTTTTTCGTTCCCTCCTCACCTGCAATTTTTTACAACTAAAATTACTGTTCCCACCAACCGATCAACAAGAAAATTGGCATGCGGAGTAATCGGGCCATGACTAACATATTTGGTCTTCATAATTAACTTTGTAAAACCACTCATTACATCATAAAATTGATGCTCATACGAGGTGGGGGAAAAAGGAAAATGAGCCGCAAAAACAAACATAAAGAGCAAAAACATGCTCTTCAACAGTTAGAATATAGTTGAAGATGGCCTCGTGCAAACGAGCCGCCATCGGGCGCTTCGTGCCCTCAGGCCGGGCTCTTTTTCCCTCGGGTATCTTTAAATTATGTTCTAACTTTTACAAAGAACATAAGTGAAAGAGCAAAAGCATACCCTTCGCTTGAAAAAATAAAAAAACGCACAAACAATATATAATGAACTTCAGTAGCTCATTTCTTTTTAGGGCAAGGATGATAATGATCTACAATAGTGCATAGGTACTACCGTTGCGTAGGCGACTGCCGGATCCTGTGCCATATGGGCCTCCGTCTTCTTCCCAGGGTCCTCGGAGGAGTCCTGCTTGAACCAGTCTGTCCTGCTGTCCTCGTCCTTGACCTCGAACAGAGTGAGGAACTGGTGGTAGTCCACGAAACCCATGTGTTTTGGGTCCAGAAGGATGACTAGTTCTTTGAACTGGCTGTCTGTCAGTTTCATACACACGCTCTCGGTAATTTTACGCAGCTCCCTGCGCATTATTTTGCCCTTTCTCTCCTGAAATCGTCAATCGAAAATTGCAATTCAGCAATCAAATGTTAAACTAATTTTTGATTGGAAGGTTTAGGATCATTTAACACTTCTGCCATACTGTCAAAATGAACAAAATAGGTGAAGTTATATTGAATCTGTATAAAGACCGATAGTAGTTTGTTGCTTACCGGGTCGTACGCAAGGAATGCGGCCTTGAGGGAGTGGAAGTTGTTGGTCACGTGACACCTCATCAGATTGATGATGTCAGTGGCACTCATCTCATCCTCCTTCCTGTCCTTATGTGGCAGCACTCTGAAATAGAGAAGAAAGAATTTTGCACCCTTTCCTTTTAAATTTTGTTGGCCAAATAGTAAAATAACGAACAAATTTTGCCAAAAATACTGTAACAATCATTTTCATTAGCGAGGTATTCACGGAAGTTTTAGGTGTTGCTAACTGGGAACTATATGAGAGGTTGAGATCGTTAATAAAAATGCACACAAACAGTTTTGTCATTGTACCTTCCAGTGTTTGCTTCTCAAATTTGATGGAATTAGACACCTGGAGGAGAAAAATGGCAATGAATCTTACTGGTGTGAGGAGAGTTTAATTGGGAGTGTATTGGCCGTCCTGGAGAACTGGAATGGCTGCTGGAAGTGTTGCAAGAACTGACTCCACACCACCTGGCCAGTCGCTTTTACGCCGCACCTGGAAAGAAAAAAAAACAAATTAACAACAAGGATAGCCGGTTTATGTGCAAGTAGCAGATAATGTTCCGACAATAGTCTTAATTTTTTTTTCAAAATGATGTCATTTTTTGGCGTGTTGTGATAAGCAAATTTGAAAAAAAAATTACAGAAAAATGACAAGAAAAACAAAAAATTCAAAAAAAATGAAATTTTTTCAGTTTTTTTTGCAATTTTTTTTATTGTAAAATTTTTCGATTCCAGAAAGGCGCTTAAATACTAGGCGCCATTGTAAGCTTTTCAGTTTTTAAAATACGCTATTGTAAGCCTGCTTGCTCACTTTATTCGCTCGAATCGAGACGAAAAATCAAAAACTTCATACCGGTTTTTCTCGACGCCATTTTTTCTGGGGATTTTTTTTTTGAAATTTCTTAATGTTTTTCAAATCACGACTAAAAAAGCTTTTATATGATATATCACTCAACTTTCTCCGAAGGTTATTTGTTGTAGCCTATTTTGAGTGGAAAACAAAAAACTAAAACATTTCAATACAAATTCCCCCACTTTTTTCAAATGGTCGGAACAACAAGAATAGTCGTTTACTGTGCAAGTAGCAGAGTGTTCCGACCATAAACTTGAAGAATACAAAACGTTTTTTTCTAGAACCTAGCATATTAGACAGTCATAATAAAATAGGCAAAGTTGAAAAAAAAAGAAACAGAAAAATGAAAAAAAATGTAATTTTGTCTGCAGCTATTTTTTGAATTTTGAAAAAAAATGTGTTGGAAATTTTGATTCCTAAAATGACGCAAACAAACTCCAAAAACTAATGTGCTTTTTTATGCCTGGTCGCTCATCTTATTTGCTCAAAAACGGACCAAAAATCAAAAACCTTGAATCGATTTTTATCCACTTTGAGATAACTTGTACAAAATTGCTTGATTTCGTTCGAATCACGACTCAAAGGGCAGTACTATGATATATCACTCGACACTTTCCGATGATTATTTGTGGGTACCTGATTTTGCGTGGAAAGCAGAAAAAAAGGGGAAACAAGGATAGCCTATTACCTTGTAATTAGCAAAGATTCTTCCCTCCATAATTTTAGAAAAATACAAAAAAAAAATTTTCAGCGGGGTGAAGAAAAGTGCAGAAAATTGACTACAAAAACAGTACAACGTCCAAAAAATTCACAGTTTTTTTGACGTTGTTTCATTTTTTCGCACTTTTTGGAATTTTTGAAGTTTTTGATTCCAAAATGCGCTAAAATACTCAAAAAACACTAATTTTCTTTGAGTAAAACTAGAAACTTCTACGGCTTAAGTTAAGCTATTGTAACCTTCTAAGCTATTGATATAAGCTAATGTAAGACTGTTCATTCGCTTTACTCGCTCGGAATTAGAGGAAAAGTTAAAAATTTACTGCCGGTGTTTCTTGACACTGGAATTTTTTTGGAAATTTTTTAAAGTCGTTTCAATCACGACTGAAAAGGCTTCAACATGATAAATCACTCAACTCACTCCGATAATTATTTGTGGTAGCTGATTTTGTCTGTAAAACAAAAAAAGAAAAAAAAGGAAAAAACTTAAAACACAACCGAACTCAAAGTTCTTCTCCATTTTCAATGGTCAGTGCAATAATGTTCAAGCTGCTAGATCAAATTTTCATATCAAATCGAAGCAGCTCAATAAACTCAATTGGATCATATGAGTTGGAAACTCAATTATTTTCATTGGCGATCAGTGTTCAATTTAGAAGGTCAAGACTCATTTTGGTACAGCAGTCATCAGTAGAAATGACATAATGGAAATACAATTTGTTCTACTAATGAACAAAAAGCTATTGAGAACAGAAAGTCATGTGACAGATGTTCATATAAAATAAATTAGATAGTATTTCATACCCTTCATATCTAAAATAAAATATGCAAATTAAATCAATCAAAAACTAGGAGGCTATATAACTTTAGATTTGAACCACTAAGGCCACTAAAAACTTTGTACATGGGTATAGCAATCCATAAACAAGAAATTTAAGGCAAATTTATCCAAAATAACAACCTCCAAGTAACCGAGACAACGGAAAAAATTTGGGAACCATATCGATATTGTGACTTTTCAGGTCGACGAAATTGATTTTCCCAGTTCTCCTACAACACTCCTCAGACCCTATTTGCACAAATATTCTGATTTGAAAATTTTTAGGTTTTTTTCGCAGCGTGCACCGCTTTGCTCTCAATAATAGAGAGTTATCTTTGGCTTGAAACAGCTTTCTTAGCATGTTTTTTTAAAGTGGCAGAACTAATTTTTAAAAACTTTATGAAATTTTGAAAAACCTCGGAACGTTAGCTCAGTCGACTTTGATTAAAATGGTTGACAAGTTTTCGAATCCCCTCGAGAAAATTTTAGATCCTGCGTTTTTTTTCTGCTATGAGCCTTGTGGTAGGAATAGTATGCCATCGGTGTTGTCTACGACATTTGAACTTTAATCTTTGCCGAACCTAATTTTACCACATTTTTGACATGATTATGCCGCCAAATTAGTAAACTGAAAGACTCAAAACTCAAAAATCAAAAGAAATCATTTAAAAAGCAACAACTAAACTACGATTTGAAATTGAAATCTGAATCACCCAAAAGTATTGCCATTGTCATTGGCGCACAATAGTTTTTAAAACAAAGAAACCGAAACCAAGGTTTTTTTTTGTTGGAAAAATCAACGAACCCATCCTTATACTAACCAGTCATATAGTTTATTATTTTTTTTTTTGGATTGTAAGTTCCAAAGAAAAAAAAAAAAAAAACTCAAAATCATTTTTTTTGTTACAATACAATTGCGAGGGTTCCATATAATCAAAGGAATTACGTATTGGTCATTTTACATTTTGTCTGACACGTCAAAAAGTGAATTAAGTTTAGGAGACAAAGTCAATTAAAAATGAATTCAACCTATGATGCTGTTTTTAAAGTCATAGAAACAGACGTAGAAATTTTAGCAAAAGCAATTAACCAAGCCATAAGCGATTCCGACGAAGTACAGATCATAAACGATTTCTTAACGGAATTGAAGAGCTTGCTTGACGATGCCAATAACGAAGCAGTCAAGATAATACGCACCGGAACGGACCAGCAAGACTCAATCATTGAACGATTGAAAACTTTGAAAGTTTTGTACCGAACGATCCAACTACGATCAAAACGATACGAGCGTACCCTCAACAACACTGCCACGTCTTCTTTAAACTCATCACGAGTAGCCAGCAACGTCTCGACGCCTTCAATAATACGACAAGCCTTGAAAAATCTTCCCCTTCGACGCCAAACGGAAAGTTTAACCCGTAGTACCACTACACAAAACGTCACCATAGACCAGGACACCCCGGACGATTTGCCACAATTTTCAGGATTGCCAGCAAGCTTAAACGCTACTTCAAACCACAGATCAAATTCCGCCCAGGACAATTCAGGACTCCTACTTCGCCCCGGATCTAACAGCGACGCCAATACCTTGGATCATCGCATTCATCAACAAAAAACAGAAACTCTTGGAACTCAAACTGCCCATGGAACTCACCTCCATCTTCAGTCAAACCTCTCATTGCAGCAGTCGAACGCCGACTTGTCACAAAGTTCAAACCTTCAGCCGAACCACCCAGAAGCTCAACTTCAAGGAACGACTATAGAATTGAACAATGGAACTCAACTCCAAATCGACAATCAGCAATTGACAGCAACAGTGGGACAAAGACCGAACTCAGAAGCTCAACTTCATGAAACGTCACCACACTCCAACCCTGGAACTCAAATCCAAGTTTTCAATCAGCAGATGAACGCACCAGCAACCCAACAAAGAAATGTTTCAGCGCCAATATTTCTTCCGACAGCAACTTCAAAAGCAGCTCAGAGTCAAATGATTGGACAGCAAATCACACACCCATTTCTTGCTCCCCAGACAGCTAGCCCCCCACATGGACTATACCAGCCTTCAAGCCAACAACAGAACCAGCCTTCAAGCCTACAACAGAATCAGCCTCCAAGTCAGCAACAGAGGACACATAATCCGAATAGCGCCTTTAGACCCATCTTGACGATTGGAAATCAGAATTCAACCAATCATCCCCCCACCAACGTGTTCTGTGGACACCAGACGACAGCTAAGGGTATCACAAACATCAACGGAGTACCGATACCAGCACAACCAGCACTACTGCCAACAAACCAAGGAGATCAACGAACAGCAACAAATTGGACCTCCAGCCAGCCGACCCTGACTCACCAATGTACACAACCTGCCATAAGATCGTACCAGGAAGGATTTCTGGGAACCACGACAGCATACAACCCTACGAACATGCCGACATCATCAACAAAAGCCTTCACTCATGCAGGCTGCAGGGGACCAACAGGATCAACTCACCAAAATATCAACCGACCTCCCCCTCATCAACATGCAGTCCATCAACATGCAGCACATCAACATGCAGCACATCAAAACCAGCCGTCTTATTTTCCTCCGATTCCTGCCAACCTTGGAACAGCACCGACAGACCACACCCATCATCAAACGATCTCGAAGACATTCAGGAAATCAGTGCCCATTGTCAAACCATTCATATTCGACGGAGAACCTGAACAATGGTTAGATTGGATAGGACTGTTCAACGCAACCATCAACAGCACCGACATGACAAACTCGGAAAAGATGACACATCTGCAGAAACTTGTATCCGGAGATGCAAAATCTCTTATCCGAGGATATGGATGCAATGGAGCAATGTATGACGCAGCCCTTCAGCGACTGGAAAACGACTTTGGTAACCCGACGAAGATAGTTACATCCTTCCTTCGACGACTCGACGCCATCAGCGGCCCCAATCTACGACATACCAGAAGCTACAAGGACCTCGCCAACTTCCTACAGACAATGGTCGATACATTCACGACACTTGGATTCCAGCACGATCTACACTCTACGACAAATGTCCAAACAGTTTTGTCAAAACTGCCTACCCCTTGCCGACTAGAATGGAATAGATACAATCTGCAATGCAACATCAGACAACCATCACTCATCGACCTCACCAATTGGTTTAACATCTACGCCGAAGCATGCAGCGATTTGCCGAGCAACAGCAACAACAATAACACCAGAAACAGCAGCAGCAGCAACAACTACAACAGCAGCAACACTCAAGGATCATCATCCAACGGTCACACCCACCAACATGGACCATCGGATCACCGCGCCAATCAGAACCACCGGAACCAGCAACGCAGCCAGCAGCAACATAAATCTGGACAAAAGGATCAACGACGAGATTTTTGCCCGGAGAAACGCAATTGCCAGTACCTTGGAAAATGCCATCACTTCATCGCAATGAACCCAAAGGACAGATTACAGCATGCCAGGGACCTACAACTATGTTTCAACTGCCTCAGCCCCCACAAGTTCGCCGACTGTCAATCAACGCAAACCTGCCGGACGGACGGATGCAGTAAGAAATACCACACACTTCTGCACAACAGCAGCATCTACAACTCGACGACACAGAGGGAGACAGCCAACCGGAACTCCAGACAACATGACGACACCACCAACTGCAGCACCAGCATAAGCAAAAGGAAATTGACTCGCCACATTCCGACCCTGCCAATAACGATCTCTCATGGCAAACATAGAGTTCAAGCTTATGCAATGCTTGATTGTGGAAGCAAACTGACATTGCTTAAATCATCAATCGCCCTCCAACTCAAACCAGATCTGCAATTAGACGACACCATCCAGCTAAACCAAGCACTGACATCATCAGACACAGCTTCTACAAAGATGACGATCGCGATTGGACCCTACAACCAGCAAAAGCAGCCATTTCAACTAAATGACATCGACGTCATAATGGATTGGAACCTTTCCCAATTCAACCCTGAACTCGTCAACTCCATCTGCCAAAGAAACGAGCCTCTTCAACACATTCGGATAGCCACACTGCCCTCGAAAGAAATCGGAATCATCATTGGATGCGATTTCGCCGAACTCGTGACACCTTCAGAAGTAATCCATTCAAAACAAAATGTGCCTATTGGATGGAAAACGCCACTTGGATGGTCTCTCTGTGGACGGGATTCTACACCGACCAGCAGTCAAACTCTCGCGAGTATTGGACCACAGTAACAACTAGATGACCAACATGATCAACGACAGCTAACAACTAGATGACCATTACAATCAACGACGACGTACCATCAGCTTCAACGAACAATTTTCTAATTTGCAACCTGCAAATGGGCCCGGCTATGTCTACGACATTTGAACTTTAATCTTTGCCGAACCTAATTTTACCACATTTTTGACATGATTATGCCGCCAAATTAGTAAACTGAAAGACTCAAAACTCAAAAATCAAAAGAAATCATTTAAAAGCAACAACTAAACTACGATTTGAAATTGGAATCTGAATCACCCAAAAGTATTGCCATTGTCAGGTGTCATTCTTGTTGTTGTTAAATCGCTTTATTTGAGATGGATGACTTGTTACCTGGTGAGTATGGCGTTGAATAGGGAGGGGGACATGGGGACTGTGAATCTGTTCAGGATGCTGTGCAGCTTCTCTATGCTCAACACCTTCTCCTTGTGCGGGTCGAATGCCTCACATGTCTTCCTGATCTGCTCGTGATTTTCACGCATCTATATCAACACAATTACACAGATCTTTATCTATTTATTTAATTTTGGTTTTAACATTAAATTTATACATGGAAAGGAAATAAAACCAGAGATGAAAGAAATTAAACGAAAAAAGTTGATTTGCGATGTGTTCTTCAAGTTGATTCTAAAATATTTGGGGTAAGAGATGAAAGGAGGGTATCGAAGAAAGTGAGTATGATTCTCTAACCAGTTTTCTGAACTGTTTCTCCACATCCTGCAGACTAGGTTGCTCTCTGTTGGCACCACTGTACTCTTGCTTTTTATCCACCCTCCCACCACTCCTCCCAGTGTCTATGGGGTCTGCACTGGACGGTCTCAGTCTCAGGGTAGTGACGGGGGCAGCAGCGGTCTTATAATCGCCCCCTCCTCCCATGGGTGAAGTATTCGCTCTCTCCGCTGTCAGGGAAGCAGTGAGGACTCGAGCTGAAATAAACAAAACGATTGCTAATTTTGATCTCGTACCAAACTTTTGACTGTAAAGCAGCTCATTTGACTTCACTGTGCTTAATTTTTTACTCCAAACCTAGGAGTTCAAAATTAGTTTTACTTGTTTTGATCAACTAAAAAGACCAGAAACTGGTTATAAATGAAAGTAATTGTTATAAATTAAAATTTATCTTCAAATCATTGATGATTTCAAGTTACCATTAGCGGAGGCGGGTCTCTGGGTTAGTCTGGCACTCTGTGCGCGATTGCCATGAGTGGATGCCTTCTTCAGATCCACACCCAGTCTCTGCATGAAGTCCATGTAGTTCGTCACACCTGACCGTGTTAGGTCATACCGGGCCCACAGCCTACACAAAATATCAACGCTCTGAACATGCTAGGGATTGAACGGAATTACTAGGGTTGGGAAGTAGGGGGTGGGGGGGGGGGGAGGTCGGGGGAGGGGTGGAGTTGTTGTTTGTCTAATTGGTAATTAAATCCTTTTTAATGAACTTCTGACCAGGGGCGGATCTAGGATTTTCTCGAGGGGGGGGGGGGCGGATTTTCTAAAATATTTTGAAAATTTTGTCGACCTTTTTTTAGATCGACCAAATTGATTTTTTCCGAGCTCTTCCATAGCATTAAAAAGACCCTGTTTCGGTCAAATTTTCTGCGCTGCAGGCAAAGTTTCGAAAAAAAACAGGTCAAAAAAGGCATTTTTAGGCACTTTTTGGAAAGTGTTGACCAAAAAATTGCGTTTTTTCGGCGCGCGCTCTCCTCTCAAAATTAGTATATATTGGCGCCAAAGGCGCCTTTATAAAAATTTTAGGGTACCTCACCAACAATAGATATCTCAAAATAGTACAAAAAGAGCCTCCCCCCACCCGCCCCCCTAAATCCGCTACTGCTTCTGGTTAAAGGGTTGATTATTAAATCTTTTTGGCGCCGCATTCAGCTCAAAAACCTCTCGGCAGTTGACAAAAGAGTGATTGCTAATCTTTTTTCCATTAAGGATAATGATAATCTGTTGCCCATGTAAATTAATTTCAACCGCATCATCATTTAGATTTGTCTTCTGCATTTGATATCACTGAAAGGGCATCGACTAAATTTGGACATACATGAAAAACATAAATAAGCAGTACCATTTGGTTTGTTTACTCCGAAAAGGACCTTTTCGTGTTTCCCTGTTGCAATCTAATTTTGTTAGTACTTTACAGGAAGCACAAACAACGAATCTAATCAACCAAACTAGCTGGTCATTTGCTGAAAGAGGAAGCCCATATTTTAGATAACGCTTCGCTGATTAGTGTAAATAATTGCTTCTGATAAGCTTTAAACAAAATTCCCATTTAGCCCTAATGTTAGTTTGCCCCTCTCTGACCATTATTTGTTCGCCCATCTTCGGTTTATGTCTTGCTTCCGTCGCCATATCCCTTTTATGTTACATGATAGTATGTCTCTTGATTATTGTTTGTTTTGTGTGTTATCGGGTATGTGGGTGCGATTAGATTTGAGACGACCGAAGACGAGGGGCGGGGACTTTTGAGCGTAGAAGTGTTTTGGAGCACTGACCAACCTTTTTTCTATTGACAAAACGATACAGCAACCCCAAACCCACTACCCCTCCCCCATTTGGACCTCGATAACTGTCCCTGATACACCTACTGCTTCTGTAGATACCATCTATTTTTCAATTTACTCTGCTCTTGTTTTCATTTAAGCACACAGCCATAAGCGAGGATGATGACCATAGCTGCTGGGGGGCAACTGAAGCTCATCTAAATTATGTATTAAATGTTTTCATTCCTCCTCCTCTCCTCTCTCCCTTTGCTAGAAACTACTTCTGCTCGGCCAAGTGCAATTTTGCTGTAATTATAATAAACAAAAACAAACTACTCCTCTCTACCCCCGTCTTGTCTCTGCTTCCTCCTCCATGCCAAATAGGAGGCGCTTCCTTCACTCGATTCACACGAACAACAATTCATTAAACGGCTGCAAGGAATTGCATACGACTATTTTTCATTATTCGGAAAAAACAACGCGGGAACAATCAACAATCATCTACAAGTAAGCTTCTTCGACAATACACAAAAAACTCCGACAATACTGACGAAAGCCAGAAATGTTTATGGCAGCTAAAAAGTTAACGCTGTTTTTTCGAACAATTGGAAGTATATTGAAGTGCTTTATGCCCTGAGCAGTTTTGTTTTGCAAAAATGATACTCGCAGTTTTTCGCAAACTATAAAAATTACGCCTTTCAAAAATCACAGAAATTTTTGATGCACATCATGTAATTAGCAAGTTAACATGGTGGCAGCCTGCATTAGAGTTCCATGGATAATAATCGATTATAATCAGTTTTCGTACTTAAAAGTATTGCTATTATAATGTATTAAACTTTTGGACCACGCAATCGATTATATCTAATTATAATCCATTTTGTCAAACAATTCAAATAAAAGTATTCATTAAATATCCATCTGACCAATTTTTTTGATTGTTATGTCCGGAACATTTTTTACCCTCTAAACTTTTGTATGCAGCAACAAGTATTTTATTTGATGAAAAACATCATCAAATAAAATACTTTCATTTAATAATTTCTTGCAAAAGTCATCAAAAATGTACATATGCAAGTGATATATTAGCTATGGGATAAAAAAGGAAACCCCGGGTATCTTGCAAAGCTTAAGGTTTTAGAATATCTCATTTCGAAATATTTGGTTTACCGTAGATTAAGAATTTTCACAAACAAATTAAAGAAAACTTTTCTAAGATACAAGTTTGACTCCCAAAGTAGAGTAACCGAGTCGAGGTTCTCGATTTCTGTCTCGATTTTCTCGATAAAAAATTGGTATGTTTCGACTTTTTTTTAAGCAAATTTCGGTATGTTTCGGCTTTCTTGATCCAATAAAAAGTGTTCGACTTTGTTCGACAAGTTCAGATATGTTTCCACTTTCTCGACCAAAATTCGATGTTTCGACTTTCTCGACTTTGTCGACCGACATTTTCTCGACCGAAGTTGGGTGTGTTTTGACTTTCTCGACCAAAATCTGGTATGTTTCGACTTTCTCTACCTATGTTTTGACTTTCTCGACAAAAATTGTTTATATTTCGACTTCGTGCTCGGCTTAATACTGCTTCTCGGCCGCGGAATTTCAGTCGCAAAACTGCACTTGCTCGATACTCAAACTCGAAACATAAGTCAAGCACCTCGACCCGGTTAGAACTCCAGTCTTGTAAATTTTATTGCATTACGACGGTAAACTCCAGTTTTATAAAAGAGCAAAGGAATTGTGCTCGCTCGCTGCATCTGGATTCCACAAACACATCGTGTACATGTGTTAGTGGTTTTTGTAGCTGGAATTTAACGACAAATGCTGACCACACAAAATTTTGACAAAACTTTTGTTGCTGTGGATTTCAGCGAAAAATGATTAGATATTGATAGACAAGTTCGCTCAGTGTTGATGCATTTGTCCTTTAATTTTATTTAATGGTATCAGGGGTGGATTTTCTCGACGGTTTTGGATTTTCAAAAATGTTTTGAAATTTTGAAATTTTTATCGACCTATTTTTTAGGTTGACCAAATTGATTTTCCGAGTTTTGCCATAATATATTGATACAATTGAAAAGAATAAAAGAATAAAAGTGAATTAGTCTAAAGTTAAAACAATAAAAAGTGAGAGAGCATTCTCTCCGACGGAGAGAATGGCAAAGTGAAGGTCATAGGTAAGTGACCTGTTAGCAAGTTACGTAATAGTTGCAGTAAGTGCAAAATAAACTGAGATCACATCATTCCTCTAAGCAGGACAAAATTTGAATTGTACGCTTAACTTAATACTAACTAACTGCATCCTTTCTCTCCCTTTTGGGGAATAAACTTTTAGTTTACTACACCGATAGTGTACTGAAATTAAATTAACAACACCGATGCAATACGATTAATGGCTTTTCAAGGGTATTGTAAAAATCGTTACCTAAAGGTAAAATATCCGATTACCGGCGGATATGGTCCAATATAAGCGGAAAGAAATAAACAAGCGTGATATGGCAAATTAGTTAACTGCAGTAAAGAGAAAGCGACGTAGGGTACATAATAAATTTAACTAATCCGAAGCATTAATGTGCTGAATAAATGAAAAATCAAAACTATAACTTTATTTTAAGCTGACGAGATAAATGGTATGAGATTGTGTCTGACGAAAGGCGGAATGAAAATATCACCAAAGCAGAATGTGAACGGAGCGTTATCATTTACACTTACGATAACAGTTTAAAAAGTTTTCTAACTCTATGTTAAAAAAATTGCTATCAAGTTCTGATTGTTCCTCGAAGTTATCGACCGACTTTCTTAGGGATTTGTCCGTTGATGAGCAAAAAATTTGATCGGGTGTGGAGGATTCGGAATCGATCGTCACAACTTTCAAAGGAAAAACACTGTTGTTATGGTCCCATTTGTCAGTATCGCAGCTTTCTAGGATGATCGGGTTTGATGCCGAACCAGAGGTCGATTGTGATAAATCTACAACATCTAGAAAGAATCTTTTGCCATAGAACTTTGGTGGAGCTACATTTCTACTAGACCGGCGAATAAAAGGAGAAACGTTACTATGATTATTTGGGGTTTTGGTTGCAGAAATTGTCTCATCGGATGAATCCACAATTTCGTAGACAGGGAAGTTTGTCGTGGTATCTTCTGTCAATGGTAGAGTCGAGTTGTTTTGTGAGTCAGGTATGATTTTGGAGGCTTCAGCTGGAGTGGATGGCTTTTGACCCTGCGGTGTGGGCTCCGCCGGAAGGATGCTTATTGGGCATTGAGTTTGTTGGTCGTCTTCTGGGTTAGTGATGTCCTCTAAAATCTCACCTTTAATGTAATCGTTGGATTCGCAAAAAATTCGAGTTCTCATCCTGATAAGAAGTTTTTAATGAGTCGGAAATAAATCGTTCCCTGGCTACATCTCTACATGAGAAACCTCCCGCTATCCATTCCCAGTCACTAGTATCCAAAATATCCGAGGGAATCAACATAGATTCGTCTGAAGCGAAGTAACCTGGAGGTGTTGTTGTCTTCTCGGACCGGGGTGGTTGTCTTCGAGTAGCTTTTGAAGATGGCTTCGACACACGTGTCTTTTTCATGTTGTCCGATGATCCTAGTTCAATCTGATGTCGGGTCCTGGGTTGTGGCTTTCGGGGTTTGATTTGTCGTCTTGAGTTCTCGCGTTTCCGACCTACTTCAACATTAGGGCTAGGAAAAAAGTAAAAAATATATTGCCTTTAAAAGATCTAATGTTTGTCGATTTTGATTTAGTGATAGCGATATCCGATTTTCGAATTATTTTTCCATCGTGTAGTTCTACTGT